ATCAACACCATCAAAGAAAGGTGAGTTTTTGCAGCTGGGCATTTTGCTTCATCTCAGTTTTGGAATAAATTTCTCTTTCAAACAGAAGAGATGAATTCCAATGCTATACTTGCATTAAGCTGGCCGTGACACAATTAGGAAATATTCTGGACTTCCCACGTGAGCACTGGGATGGGGATTGTTCAGAGTCATAATGAGCTCACATGCTTCACCCCGCATTTCCTTATCCAGGGGGCAGGACCATGAGATGAAAACCTGGCTTTTCCCCTTGCCCTGTTACAATACACAGAACAGCAACGCTCTGGTGTTCACCTGCTGCCCTAATGATGCTGACACAGTGCAGGAGTCCAAGCACCAAGACATCCAGGAGAACCCAGACATTCAGTGTCTATGGCTGAGGGTGAACATCAGAGGATGCCAAGGGGCCCCAGGAGAAAGTGAGAAGATTCCTTCTGGGTAAAGGGTGAAGATGCGGTACCAGCTGGTTCATCCTGTCTTTCCTTATAATGTTCTCCATCTCCCACTCCCAAACTCACCCCCCAACAGGCCTCACAGGGTTATCTTGGAAAGATTTAAAACACTAAGAAAACCATTACAAATCTGTGTTGCTCTTTTAATATATACATTTTTAGGTTCTTATAGAATAGAAAATATTAGTATTTAACAAGGACACTTGGCTTAGTGATTTATTATTTCCAATACATATACCCAACTATTATTAAAGATTCTACACTGTATTTCAAAAATTCTAAGTCACTAGAGATGAGATTATTACTGGGCTTAAAGCAGTTTGGGAACAGAGATACAGAGACATAGTTCATAACACTGGAGAACAAATAAAAGGCCAGATAGCTTGCCACCTTCATCTGAGGATGAAAGAACTAAGGTCCTTTGAGAAAATTATGGTCAAAAATCATTTCTATATTCTTAATGTAAAAACAGTACATTGAAAGTTAAAATAATCAGGCAGGATTTTCATTTGAAAAAGAAAGAAACTCAAATTCTTTGAGTTTTTCCACCTTTAAACTCAGACACACAGTAAATTACAGATGTGAGACACTAAGTAACATTCCCTTCATGGTGAACAGTCTTATGGAATCTATTTTCAGTATCCATTTGGGGACACTAAGTAACATTCCCTGCATGGTGAACATTTCTATAGTCTTATGGAATCTATTTTCAGTATCCATTTGGTACTAATGTCCCCACATTTCAAAGAACAAAATAGTCGATGAAATGCAAAGCTTGCATCTAGGATACTAGAAAAATGCTAGCTATTATATGATGGCTGTCAAATTTTAAAGCTTGGTTCTGCTTGAAGAGTTACTTCAATAGCAATGAA